AGTGACTCCAGATAATCTGAGAACTGAAAATAGTGACAGTAATATGAATGATACAGAAAAGTTTCAGACCATAAAACGACAGTTCAAATGGGCAAACAAACCCGACAAGTTGGCCCAACTGCAGTTTGAGTTGGGCTGAGGGGGGCTCCGGCCCCCCAGTGAAGAAGGATGGATGGATGGATGCTCCCATTGGAAACAGATGCTGGGTCCAGAATCAACAGGCCGAAACAGAAACAGATAATTCGCAGCAAATAGCAGAGCGAGCTGCCAGAAAATCTTCCTGAAGTGAAAGGCATGATCCAAGCTTGTTTCAGATCAACAGGGGCCAACAACGTGATCCGGAATAAAATTAATTATTATCCAGGGGAGTTTGGATGGAGGCCTGAGCAACTCCGATACAAACTCCGAACTTCTCTCGAGCACCACGCAGACCCGCTCCTTTACTCTGCTCCTCCGCTTCTCAGCACCCAACAGCACGGGGCACCCCCGGTGAAAAAACGAGACTGACCGGAGAGGCTGAGGCTGAAGTTGGCAACTGGTCCGGTTCGGTTCTGCTCCAGTTCGGCTCCGGCGCTCCAAGCACGAGAGACGAAAAGGCTGAAGATATCCCTGGCCCGGTTCTGCTCCGGTCCGGCGGCCCAGTCCGGCGGCGCGGTTCTGCTCCGGTCTGGCGGCCCAGTCTGGCGGCGCGGTTCTGCTCCGGTCCGGCGGCCCAGTTCGGCGGCGCGGTTCTGCTCCGGTCCGGCGGCTATTCAAAGCACCGGAGCGTCTCCTCCAGGTGAACACAACGACTCCACGGAGGTGGATCGTCCAGTAAAAGTAACGGGCTGCTCACTGAAGCTGAGACCGGCTGATGGCTGTAGACATGAAAAATCTCTTGTAAAGGTCCATCCCACAGTGGATCCTAAGAAACTGGCTGCAGATGCCGTCCAATCCGTCCACCCAGACTCGGCTGGCCCCTCGGTTCCCCCGGGCTGTAAGACCGCCCGAGTACCGGGCAGAACTCCTCCCAGAGCGATGGCCACTCCTCCCAGCAGTCTGCTGAGCTCCTCGTCGCTGCGGACAGACAGCTGTAGGTGCCAAGGGATGATCCTGTCCTTCTGCTGTCATGAGCCGTGTTTCTTGCTAGTTCCAGGATCTCAGTGGTCAGGCACTCGAGCACAGCTGGCAGGTAGATGAGAATGCGTCCACAGAACATCCTTTTCAACTCATTTGAAATTTGGGGCTGTAGTTGAGATATTATTTGAGCTTTTGAGATGTTAATCAGCTGCTAGTTGTAGAAAACTGCCTTGTTGCCATGGTTACGCATCATA